TAGTCGAAAAATTAGACTAAAAACTTTAGCAACTAAATTAGTCTATCAGTCGACTATTAAAACGACTTATATAGTCGACTAAAACGACTAATATAGTCGACTAAAACGACTAATATAGTCGACTAAAACGACTAATATATTCGACTAAAACGACTAATATAGTCGACTAAAACGACTAATATAGTCGACTAAAACGACTAATTTAGTCGACTAAAAGAACTAATTAAGTCGACTAAAAGAACTAATTAAGTCGACTAAAAGAACTAATTAAGTCTAAATTAAGTCATAATCATTATTTTTGAACTTTTTTTAAATTTTTTAGGTAAAAATATATGTTTGTAAAGATGTAAAAATAAAATTTCAGTGAAGATCTATCATCATAGAAAAATATTAATTATCAAAATCGTTATTTTTGAAAAGTAAATAGGTAAAAATATATATTGTAAATGTGTTAAAATAAAATTTAGTGAAGATGTACCATAGAAGAGTGACAATTGTCATAATCGTTATTTTTTAACTTTTTTTAAAGTAAATAAAAAATATATATTGTAAAGATGTTAAAATAAAATTTCAGTGAAGATGTACTATAGAAAAGTGACAATTGTCATAATCGTTATTTTTTAACTTTTTTGAATTTTTTTAAAGTAAAAAGGTAAAAATATATATTGTAAAGATGTTAAAATAAAATTTCAGGGAAGATATACCATAGAAAAGTGACAGTTGTCATAATCGTTATTTTTTAACTTTTTTAAAGTAAATAGGTAAAAATTATATATTGTAAAGATGTTAAAATAAAATTTCAGTGAAGATGTACCATTCCCCGAATACTACGGTGCTCCCTTGGCCGATTACATAATCCATCAAAGAGGAAGGAACAAAAAGGATAATTCAGAATTAAAATCTAAAATTATACAGCTACTAAAACATAATAATGGATTGACGATAAAAAATATAGTGGAAAATTTACCACCTCATCTCAAAATGAGTGATTCGGGAATATCTAGATGCCTTAAATCAATGGGATGGAGCAGGAATGGGTTGGAAAAGAACCCGATAGACGGAATTCCCCGAATGATATAAATATTCGTAAAGAATATTGCCTAAATATGATGAACGTGCCATTTCAAAATATATTCTATTTAGATGAAACAGGCTTCAATTCCCATGTCATTTCCCACTATGGATGGGCACCTCTGGGTAAGAGGCCATCCGTCAAACTCCCTTCTTCAAAGGGGAAAAACGTATCGGTTTTATGCACCATAGGAATTAATGGTTTCAAAAAATACATTATTATAGACGGGGCATTTACATCAATAAATTTGGATGATATCATACATTTTACCGTTGAATTCGCTAATAATAATGGATAATGCGCCCATTTACCGAGCTCATATAATAACAAAAAACTATCAAAATATAGTAAATCTTCCACCCTATTCCCCTCAATTAAACCCCTTTAGAATTTTTTTGGCGTTTTGAAAAATCAGTATCGTTCTATATATCCCAAACCCAATAACAGAATTCATATAATTGAGGCTATTACTAGCCTATTACTTAATTTCACTAATTTCAATTTCACAGCCTTCTATTCACATACGATACGATATATCGAAGAGGGAATCCGATCTATTCCTTTAAACAATTAATTTAATAAATGATTACACTAGATTATTTTTTCGTTATATTATGTGCAATACAAATAGAAAAATAAATATTTTTTGATCTTTTATTATGTAAATAAAATATACATTAAATAAAGATTTCACAAGTCATTTTCGAAACTTTAATATAAGAAAGGTAAATTTGATAGAAAATAAAATAAACAATGAAGAAATAAGTTAAAATGATCATATGAAAAAAGTTTTATAAAAAGTTTCGGGATAATATTATATTTTATTTATTTTGTTATTTTTTTATAATTTTTATTTTTTTAATATTAATTTAATTGTTTATATTTTTAATAATAATTTTTCTCCAAGATAAAAAAAATAAATAACTTTAAATATTTTTATTCTTATAATTATCGTTTAGCTGGCACCAAAGGGGAGGGGAATAATTTTATTTTTTTGGATAAAATTCATTGTTTTTTTAAAAAAAAAAATTTTACCAAGGCGGGGGGGAGGAGGGGGTATTTTTATTTTAAGAAAAGAAAAGATATTAATTTTTAGAATATACTGATATAATAAAAAGATTAATTTTAAGAATAATATTGTAATTGTAAAATTTTAAATCATGATTTAAATCAGAGACCTTTAGAGGTACCATTTGCAAGGTCCTGCTGGATTTTTTAAAAAAATTGGATTTGGGCTGGGTGGGGCCGAATATTTTTTAAGAAAATTCGGGCCGAGTCGGGTGGGCCTTAGAAATTTTTAATATAAATTTATCAATTTTATATGATTAATTTTTTATGTAAAATATAAATATTTTATTTTATTTATAGAAACTAGATACCATATAATAAATATCGTTTAATTAGAGAAATTATATAAATCAATTTCTGTATTTAAATTAATTAGAGCCGGGCCGGTAAATTTTTTAAAAAAAAATTTCGTTTCGTCTGGGTAAACTTTTTTAAAAATATTTCGGGCCGGGCCTGAAAAATTAGGCCCGATGCAGATCACTAATTCAAAGCTATTATTTGAATATTTTGTTATACAATATTATAACCTTCTTATAGCAATTATATTGAAGTCAATATAATTGAATAATATTAGAAGTTAAATTACATAATTATAAAATAGTATAGGGGAGACTAGGGTTAGGTAAACCCCGGGGCTTGGAAAACCATTTAATCTCATTTTAAAATTAAATAAACCAGAAGGTTAAAATTTTATCCTAATATAGTTTTCATTAATAAATGATTGCTAAAATTTTTATTTAGACATAAAATTTTGTGAAATTTTCAAAAGATTTTTACATGACAGAATTTTAATTTTTATTAAATATAATAATTTATATATTTTAAATTTTATTGAAAAGTTTATAAACTCTTCTATTAATTGAATAAGTTTTATGAGTATTTATGAAATCTAGATATTATTTCAATCATGATTTGTCAATTTAAAGCTAGCGAGGTTTGCGAAACCATACACGTCAATTGTGGCAGTTAATAATAACGGGCGTAGACTAAAGTCAGCTCGTTTCAGCAAAAAAGTTGAAAAATAAATATTATGACAATTGTCATTTTTCTATGGTACATCTTCACTGTAATTTTATTTTAACATCTTTACAATATATATTTTTACCTATTTACTTTAAAAAAATTAAAAAAAGTTAAAAAATAACGATTATGACAATTGTCATTTTTCTATGGTACATCTTCACTGAAATTTTATTTTAACATCTTTACAATATATATTTTTACCTATTAACTTTAAAAAAATTTAAAAAAGTTAAAAAATAACGATTATGACAATTGTCATTTTTCCATGGTAAATCGTCACTGAAATTTTATTTTAACATCTTTGCAATATATATTTTTACCTATATGCTTTAAAAAAATTTAAAAGGTTAAAAAATAACGACTATGACAATTGTCACTTTTCTATGGCTTCACTGAAATTTTATTTTAACATCTTTATAGAATATATATTTTTACGTATTTGCTTTGAAAAAATTCAAAAAAGTTCAAAAATAACGATTATGACAATTGTCACTTTTCTATGGTAAATCTTAACATAAATTCTAACTTAATATGTTTACAATATATATTTTTACCTATATGCTGACTAAATAGATCAACTTAGTCGACTAAATTAGTCGTTTTAGTTGACTATATTAGTCTTTTTAGTTGACTATATTAGTTGTTTTAGTTGCGCTAAAGTTTTTAGTCAATTTCCATGACCTATGACTATTAGTCGTAGTCAAAGAACTTGACTAATTAACAACACTACCTATATCTCTCAAATCTTCTATTGTTCATAAATAACTCATTTCTAAAATAAATTATAAATTGTGGGAAAAGTGTATGGCATCTTTATGAATAAACAACTTGGAAGGCTTGTTAAATATATCTTAGTTCTGATTGTTAAAGTTTATTGCTGCCTTCATTTAAAAAGGTTGAATAAATAAATAGCAAATATTACACAGATATTTAAAATAGTTACATCACAAAAAGAATTTTAATAACATAACAAACACTTTTAAAAACATATCAAAAATATAAATATAAAAATCATAGCATTTAAAAAAAACTTAGTATTTAAATAATAAACAGTGAACATTAATAGACATAGCAATTCAATAAAGAATCAAATTCAATAAAAAACATAACATGCAAATTTTACCATATCTCATTGAAAAAAAGGCATACATTTATAGACACAAAAACAAACCCTGTATTATATTCATATAAATATAATGTTAAAGGGTATTTCATTAAATATTAAAATTTCAGGAGTGTTAAGTTATGTATATGCAGTGTGGCATTAGTTGTAATGTAAGATTTATTGTAACTTGCTTATAATAAATTATTATTTTAAACAAAAGGAAATGGTAAGTATATAATATTATGTTGTTACTACTGCAAGATCTTGAAATTATGTTGTTAAATGGTTCGATTTTGACAATTTTAAACTAAGCATAATTATTTTTTTGTCTAAAATATTGGGAGAGCCATTTTTAATGTGAGGACTTGTAAGTGGCATTTTAAAGAATTTTAAGAGACAGCATTCTTAATCATATTTTAAGAGTAATGTGATAAAAAAAAACATGTTTCTAATCATTAATATATATTTTTATACAATCTTATGTTTGCCCAATAATATTGTTTTATATTAAACTATGGATATTTTTGAAGATGGTCCTATGTACTCCAGCTTTTATGTAATGATAGTCAACTTATAAATATATTTATGCAAAAAAAACATTTTTTTTTAAAATGTAACTTATAAGGTCTTGCCATATGGATAATTATTATTTAAATTTATCATTTAATGTATTTTCTATTATCAGCATATATATCTTTTAATTATATATATATATATTATATATAATATTACCAATCAAATGCCATATTTTTCTTTGCCCATATTTTGAGTTGATAAATGTTTCATCTGATTCAATACCTACAAATAATGTTGATATTCCATCAGCTAATTGTCCAATCAATAATGAATAACCAGAGTAGGTATTACTCAAACATATAACATATTGAAAATATACCAAAAGATATGTAAACCACATACATGAACATAGATCATTAAAGAAATGGCCACAGGCAAAAGATAATTTGGTAGCTAACTTTAATTCACCATATCCGGATCGAAATTGATTATATAATTGAGTCATGATTTGAGTATTTATTCATTTGTTAAAATAAACTAATTTTACCGAACATATGATTTTTAAGGTAATAATGATATATAGCGTTGAAGGTTATTATTTTTTTCATGTTATTTATTGAAATCTTAGATAGCTTTGTAATTAGGGTTATGTTTTTGCCAAAGCCAACTAGGTGGTTCCTCCAAAAGTGGGATTTATAGTCAATCGTATATCTACCACGTTATTATGTTACTATGTATATAAAATAAATTTCTAAAAAAAATTGGTCGTTGTTGAGCAAGGGAACTGTCATTAATCTTTACCCATTCTTGTGTTGTTAAAAAGCTAGATTCAGATCAATTTAAAAAAAGTTTCGATTAAGATTATAGCTAAAATAACATTATGCAAGCCTAGATTTCACTCATAGTTGGCAGAAATGCTTGGACACTATTCAAATCTCGATGTTTATAAAATATTATTTAAACTAAAAATCTTAGTCAGGACATTTTAAAAAATAGGCCCAATCAAGCTTTTTAACAACATTAACCCAGTCAACTAATATAAAAAATAAACGTATTAAGACAACCTTTAGCAATTTATTAAATATATCTGTTAAATAATCTGATTTTGTTTGTTATACCTTATAATATAATTTTGTTTGTTGTACCTTTCGGTGAAAATTTTATATTAACATTTTTTTTATATCATAATAACATTACATTTTTTGATATCAATTTGTATCTTTATATTACATAATTGGTTATTTATTTATTGTTAAGAAAAGATATAAAAAGAAAAATTGTTTTTGGTTAAAAGAGGAAAAAATAAAATGTAAATTATAATAATAAAATAAAAGAAAAGAAAATTCTTTCTTATTCTAATAATATATATAATAGAGAACTCTATCCAAATACATCAATAACACTTCTTTAAAAGTTAGACTCATTCAAGCGGTTTTTCCAGAAAAGAATCCAGCAAGAAATTAATAAGCCTACCTATTGCATCTCACCTAATATGGTAACTAGCCCCCAAATTTATAATTCAATTTTTTTTTTCTATATGAGGATAATTTACTTACGGTCTTTTTTAAAATTTATAATCAAACATAACATATCTCCCACATTATAATATCACTAATGCTTTATTTAAAATACTTGATATAAATACTTTTATTTTAATAATTCAGATTGTTGTATTATTTAGTTATTATTATTCAAATTGTGATAATATTCAAACAAAGATAATGTTTTATTAAAATTATTTCTTTATTATTTAAATCTTAGACTATGCAATTTAGATTAAAACGCGTGATAATTGTATATTTTTCATACTTTAAGGGTTTAACAATTCGAATTATTCCCTTTTTATTTTTCGCATATAATTTTCTATATTTCAATTTTTTTCTTTTTAGATTTTCTTTTAAAATTTCATTTTTTAACTTTAATTTTATTATGTTTTCACTGTATAATTATTATTGTTGTGATATTCAAATGAGTTAAAGAAAAATGAATAAAAAAGATTTATTCAGATTAGATAAAGTTCAAGATTATTTAAGTTTGTTGTTTAAACACTATGTAAATGCGTGTTTATCATGAAAAAAGAAAGATATATATATATTTTTATATAATTAGATAGTTTTCTTTTATTTTTTTTTTTGAAGAACGCACTTTTTTGATTTTTTCATATAATTTATTAATTTTATTTACTTTTACTTTATCTTATATTAATTTAATTTTTCTCTTATAATTTTTTACTTTTATTTGATAATTAGTATTTATAGTTAACTATTATGAATAAAACTTTAAATTCTTAAAATATTTTCTCAATTACAACAATTAATATATTATTTATAATTATACAATAAAGCTATGGTTATATATATTTAATTATTTTATTTTATTTTTCTTTAAGGGACCTTCATTTTTTACAAAAGATAATATCGGTATATTAAATATCAAAAAATGAAAACTATCTTACACTTAAATATTTTACCGTTAATTATTATAAATGCAAAGTCTACAATTTACTTATTTAAATATTAGTTTTTCGAACGAGTTAGAAAAAAATAAATCTATATCTGTCAAATAGTTATGTTAAATATTTTTCAACTCCGAACTCTAGTAGGAGTAAAAAAACTGACCTGATCAAAAAATAAAATGACCCGTTTCTATCCGATATAAAAGGCCGCAATCAACAAACGATATGATATGTATAAAATTAATTTGAAATATAAGAATATATATTTAAATATAATAAAATCTTTAGTTGCTTTAGATAAAAGTATTGCAGAGAAGGTAAATTGGTATTTTAAGCTTTTCTATTATTTTTTTTATTTATATAATTTCAATAAATATCATTATATTAATTTTTTTATAATATTTTTTTTATCTTTAGGTGCTAGTATAGTTTAGCCAGATTTATTTATATTTTCTATATTTTGGTAAGATTTGTAAAAGTGCATTAAAAACTTTAATTAGTGTGGTATTTCCGGCGAAATAGTCTTAGAAGACTCCTAATACTACAACGAGATTATTGTAAACTAGAAGATGTGATCATATTTATTTTCAAAATATCTTATACATTTATTTTATTCATACTACTATTATCAACATGGAGTAAAGTAATTTGTTTATTTCAATCAACTTTAAGAAAGATATATAAATTTAAATCGGTACTTTCATTGCCTTATAAAGTAGCTCTAAAGCCGTGAGTTGTATTCTTTCAACCCCTCTTTAATTAGCCCACAAACGTTTAAGTAATAGTCTTAGGACCAACATGCGTACAAGTACGTGCGGCTTGCCCAAGAAACCAACGTGCTCCTCATATTATAAATTCCCATATTTTAAAATGTCCGATCTGTATATTATAATATTAGATGGTAATTGCCCTTAGTTACTAATCACTTTTGATGTTGATGAAATGAATGCTATGTTTTGAGACCGGGAGATGATAATCTTACGCCAAATGGCCTATTTGCAAGAAATAAAAGCTATATTTTTTCTTATTTATACGCATTTTCCGAATCGATAAAAAGTTACGAAGATATATTAACGAAGTTAATTGCCATTAATTTTTTGTTCAAGAAAAGAAATTAAAATTAGGATTTACTGTATTGGATTCACAAAAAAGTACATTGACTTTATTGATTGTTAATAGTAAATTAAATAGATAAGCATAAATCATAAATAAAAAGTTAAAAATTCAGACAGTGATTTAACTATAACAAATGATGTTGGCTATCAAGAACAAGCCCTTAATTCCCATTTTGTTGACCCAAAAATTATTCTTACCAAAGGTAAATTGTTAATATAGACAAATTTGTATGAATTGACATGGCTGACAAATTTATGGAGTATATCGTCTGCAGAAAAATGGATCAATCCTCAACTTTCTGAATATGAATGAAATAAAGGATGTGAATAAAAAACATAATTCAAGTTTCAATCTCTTCATTTCTCAAGATTCAAGCTAATCTTTTATTTAATTAATCCTTTCTTTATTTTTTAGATTACCTTATCAATTTTTCATCTCATATTACCAATTACACATTATTGAAATTTATTTCTCTACAAGATACTTAACTTATATATTATTCTGAACATATTCACAATCTTTGTCAGTACTTATATCACAATTTTTTATACTCATATTTTTTCTTTCATAACCCATATTAAGAAGATTATCAAGTATATTCTATTACTTAAATACTCTTATTTCCAATTCCTATAGATTAACTCTTCCTTTATCCCCTCCCCCCACTTAATAAACTCATTCATTTATCAATAAATTTTTTATTATATCATCTTTTATTCCTATCTCTATTTATTACCTCTTAACCAGTATTTCTCAAAACCTTTATAAATTTATTTAATATAATTTTTTATTATCTTTTATAAGTTAATAATTTATACCTTCTTTTTACCAAATTTTTAATCTTACCTTTTCATTACCCGCAACTAATTAACCTTATTTTTTTTAATAACATTATATTCAACATATTTTTTTTAACCTTAAACTAAATCGTCTGCTTTTTTCCTCTTCCTTTCTAAATAAAATCAAATAGTCTGCTTTCATTTTTGATTTATCTAACAAAAATCAAATCTTAATTTTTTATACTTATCTTTTTCTTAAATATATCTTTAAATAAAAAATTAATTATTTACTCCTATAACATTCTAGGCCTATTAAATAAAGTCACTATCCTCAGAAAAATAATGGAAGAAAAAGATAACTATATATTAATGACACAAGAAACATTAATTAATAATAATTTAATAAAAAAAATAATATTTAATTCTAATTCTTCTAACTAACATATTGGTGTATCATTTATCATTAAAGATACTATTTAAAAATTTACATCTAATTTTATTCCAATCAGCCACCGAATTTAATTCTAATTCTTCTAACTACCATATTGGTGTATCATTTATCATTAAAGATACTATTTAAGAATTTACATCTAATTTTCTATATATGATACATCATGACTGAATTTTTAATTCAACATGTTTAGAATATATATTTTTAGCAATTTGCTTTAAAAAAACTCAAAAAAGTTCAAAAATGGCGATTATGACAATTGTCACTTATTTATGGTACATCTTCACTGAAATTTTGATTTAACATGTCTACAATATATATTTTCATCTATTTCATTTAAAAAAGTTCAAAAATAACCATCATAACAAATGGCTCTTTTCTATGGTGCATCTTCACTTAAAAATTTTAAAAAATAACTATGATGAATAGTTAATCCAGAGCATTATAATTTAAAGAAGCTTTAAGTAACTTTCCCGCCTATAATATTAATATATACTAAATGTTATTTGACTTTTGGTCGAAAAAAATGATCTAGAATTGGGTTAGGGGTGAAAAAAAGCAACCCTAACTTTAAGTCGTCTTTAAAAAAAAGATCCATATTTTGGGTCGGATTGAATAAAACGACCCGATGTTTGAGTCTGAGTCAGAAAAACGACCCAAACTTTGAGTTGGAGTCGAAAAATACGACCCAAACTTCAAGTTTGAGTCAAAAAATACGACCCAAACTTCAAGTTTGAGTCAA